TATATATATATATATATATATATATATATATATATATAAAAACTAACTATCATCCGGCTTTGCTTCAAATTTACGTAATTGCAAAAAGTATGCTTCAGCTGTAGGTACAGCATTCCAACATACTTCCAAACCAGACACTGTAGCACGGATAAGCTGTACACGCCCAGGTGCATCAGGTTTGTCCGTTTCCAGATACCACATATCTTTACAACAGACCTGAAATGATATTTTGCATCAAAACTCAAACGAAAATCGGCCAATCATTGCCATGAACCTGATACAGTCTGCAGCGAATCATCCGAGAACAGAGATAGAAGAATAAAATGGATTTATCAAATACTTGTTATATTGAAACAACAATTTTTTGGGACATGGAAGTTTTCGTTACCAGTAAAGATAATACCTGATTATTCCATGCTTTACGATATCCATCTCTTCCGGACCACACATACAAACGTTTATTAATAACAACTGCACTATGTCCTGCTCGAGCTCTGGGTACTGCGGCTAAATTTATTAAATACTACGTAAATTATACCACTTCATCGTAATTTCATAATGATACTGATACGATAGAAAATAAAGACTTAACACTACTCCTGATTCTATTAAGGAATATAATCTTGAACTGCTTCTAAATAACAGAAGCATCATTTACCAATTTTCACTTACATTCAAGGAGTTCCAATGACAGATCTTCCCAACACATTGTACGTAGGTTCAAAGAAGCGAGTGTGTTTGTGCACTTCCATTCTTTTTCCACTTGCTGTAGTTTCGTATCGGGCGTCAAAAGAGGTACCCACCCACCAAACACTATCATTCTGAACATCGAATTATAATAATTATAATAATGGGATTTGGACTACTTTATTAGTAAGTTCAACTCTTGATAACTACCAAGCTTGTCTGGATTGGCTTGTCTAAATACGTCAGTTTATAGTTGAGAACAAATGTATTATTCATTCTAGCCAGACTGTATGACCTTCTTTCTCTTCTTTGACTAGTGAGTGAAGGGAGCCGAAGGGTCAAACTCCTACCAAGTTACTGTCCCACTGATCTTGATGAAGGTGCAAGTTCCCAATTATATTTAATTCAGCTTCTTGGAGACATTTATTTCAAACATGAAAAAAATACCTTTCAGCAATGACATTAGCAGAATGAAGCGAACGTGGTAAAGGTGGAACTCCACCAATTTCAGGCTTCGTCCATGTCATTGAAATGAGATCTAAAATCCACAAATCACCAAGACGACAGCCATTCATCCCACCAAAGACTATCATTCGCCGATGTTCACCACTGTTTTCCACTATGACTGCAGAATGTGACTCACGTGGAGGTGGAGGAGACCCATAGGTCTACAATAAGAGAGAGGATGAATAACTGATGGAAGGTGAAATGGTTACCTTGATATTCTGATGCACGTGGAAGTTCTCAACCATCTCTTTCACGGAAAGTGTTCTAGTCTTATTGGTAGTACGAAGCATATTTTAACGTGCTAATTAATCGCCATTTCAAAGATCCGAAAGCAGTTTAAGGAATCAGAAAAGAATTCGAATTACATGTTGTAGCGAACTAATATAAGCTAAGCAGAAGACGTCTTATTTTGATAACCTGCAGTTCTGATGTTCATTTGAGACTAAATTTCATGCAATGAACAAAAAAAGGAACTTATTGATTCAAATTCAAAAACTTGCAACTAACGTCGGGAAATTCCCACTGCAAACTATTATTTGCTTTGTTAAGGTCCAAAACATACAAATCATTCAAGTAGCGTGGAATATTATTTTTTGGGTCTTCACTTGCGTTTGCCAAACCGCCAAATATGTAACAAATCTGAAACCGAAAGCCATACAAAAAATATCCCTTTGTCACGAACACATAAGCACTACCAATCACTAATAATTTTATATTTTAAGCTAACTCCACCTGATTCGAAGCAAGTGTGAAAGAATGACCCAAACGAGCACATGGAGGAGGTTGTCCAGTTTTTGGTGGTCGTGGTCGTAAGCGTTTCCATTCCCATTTACTGGCTTGAAGTTCATAAAGATCTGCGGAATATCTAAAATGAAACTGGTAATCTATACTTCAGCACATCATGAAAAAAAAAGCTTGATGCCCATTGCGTTCCCATATCATAGTCCAGAATCCAAAGAACCTGGTTAATAAACGCCTATTTAATAAAAGCTCAATACACAAACCTTCCATATTCAACCATACCACCAAAGAGGTAAATTTTAGTCCCATCACAAATAATGCCATAGGCTGCACATCCCGGTGGCACCTCACCTTTGACAGCCGGAACGAACCACTGATTTGTTGCTGTAAATGAAAAAAAAGAAAAATTTTATCGATGCAGTAGTTCCGCACAATTACAATCTTCAACATACATTAATTAGGGATGTAGTTGACGAAATACAAAGAAAAGCATACATGTCATTAAAGACTCGTCAATCTCAAGATCGACTACAATAGAAGCGTTACTAGTCGCACAAAACTAACTTATCCATATTACAACTGGCATAACATCCACGTAAAAGTGGCTTTCAGGAAGTTTCTCAATTGATATGATAAAAGTAACCTGTATTATAGACGTGTAGCTCATCGACGATACCTTCATTGCCTCCACCAAAAACTATCATCAAATCCTTGATCGAAACTGCCCGATGCCCATGGCGTGGTCTAGTAAATTATACGAATTTTCAGAAAACATTTCATGTGAATAATTCATATCAAACTTGTACTAAACAAGAAACTACTCCCACGCCAATCCAAACTTGTCTGATTATAAGAGTGGGTTCATACGAAAAAATTTGTTCCACCGATTAGAATTGCTTTTGTAAACATGAGAGTTTAGAACTGACCCAGTTATTTTTTATTATTCATCTCATGTGATGATCCATAAACTATGACCTTGATTCTAGTAAAACCTACCGTGGAGTAGGACCTGTTGTGTTTACAACTTTCTTCCATTTCAGCGTTGGTGATCCATTACCTGACCTTCCTCGCTTTGTTGCATTCATCATTTAACACCTAAAATTATACGTAAAAGAAATATAGTCCTGGGAAAAAGCTTAAAATTTACGACTTCTTTGATCAAGTTTAAGCAGTATGACTTGTTCCCTTAACCATATATTATACTTTCCATTTCATTACTGACTGTTTCAACAGTTCATAAACCACAATAAAAAATTGATTACAATTATTATATAATTTATTATAATTGTTATAGTCCGAAATTATGCTGAATTTGATCCTCTTCATATCCCAACTCCAAAAGTTCGTTTTGCAAATTTTCGCAGTCTACAATTTCCACAACAATTTAAATTTCCACCACAATTTCTACAATTTCTACTACAATTTTACAATTAAAAACTGTCGCAGAAAAAAACACAAGCCGGCACAATATATGTAGGAAAAGTATTAGAGTAGGAGATAACTGTCTGAATGTACAAGAGATGTGAAGAAACGAATAGCAAATATTAAACTGTATTAAATTCAAGGTATCTTTAAATAGTCCAAACTATAAATTGTACAGGTCAAAATAATTTTACAGCAATGATAAAATGGCAAGGAAGTACCCATTTATGAAATGAACTCTTTTCTAGGCCCTAAACAAATTGCACCTAAAACTTTCCTTAGAGATAGGAAGCTGAAAAGAAATGAATGACTACCACAAACAATTTGGTAGGAAAGGATAATAATGGAAACGGCATTTGATGATTGTTCGAAATTACGGGATTATCCTTCAAAAGGATCAATTTCAGTATGTCGGATCAAGAAAAAGGTGTATCGAATGTTAGCATGATATAATTATGAGTAAGAAAATTGAAGAAATGAGAAAAGTGGAAAATATCGACGTAAAAAGTATCTCGTAGCGATTAACACAGACTCAGAGATCAAATATGGAACTCACGTGTGAAGATAAGTGAAACTCGATCACTGACAGAAGGGGCACTGAAGGTCAAATAAGCTCCTCAGTCAGCAATCGCCCGATCACGCGAACTTGATTCCCACGCAATCCGAACCGCAAACTTCCTTGCTACAATCATTTCCGGCTGCTTGTCGAGCACGTCCTATTTCTTCCTCCCTTTCTCGTCTGGTTAGAAAGGAGAATATATCATCCAGTTTGTTTTACCCAGTTCTCTTCATTCAGGACTGGAGAGAGGAAGTGCAGAAGCATAAGACAGGATGAATAATTTGCGGTTCAAGTTGAGGGATCCGGTAATATGTGGGGTATTTTGCTATATATTTTCTCACCTAGTCGTTGTGCGAAGATCTGATGAGCAGAAAAATGAGTATGACAAGGAGCATCATTATAGGTTGTGGGAATACTCGTTATAATTTTCAGCATTTCTTGGCTTACATTGGTGGTAAAAATGATCCATCCGTCATGCTCCATTGATTTGTGGTGAAATTTCAAACATATTTCCTTATTAATTGTAGTTTTTTTCAGAAAAAAATTTGCATTAATAAATGGCAAAAAACCTGGAAAATACAAGTTATCGGAGGTTGGATGTTGATGCCTTTGATCCAGAAAAATTTGTGGATTATGAAGATGCGGAAACTCCTGGAATTGGACCGGATGAACGACTCGTTAATCAGTTATTGCAGTCAGCCAAGTTGCAAGAAGCGTTGAAAGCATCATTATCAAATCCCCCATTGAAATGCAAAAACCAGGTTTATTTTGAATTTAAATTCAATACTTTTGTTAGCCTGAATGTTTCTTTTTTTTTTATTTGATCAAGGTCTAATCTGAAAGACAAAACGGAATGGGAAAAGAAGAGTTGATATTGATGTATGCACTGTTTTGCATTCACAAGTTTTGTACCAGTTAGCTACATAGATATGTAGCTGGCTGAACTGCATACTTCTTGGATTCTTCAGAATCCTTATACTTCCAATTTCATTCGAGAAGGTTGAGAAAAGGGATGATATTGTATCTTGGAGATGACATTGTCACTTGTTTGTCTTAAATTTTCACAAGAGGCAGCAGGAGAGGACGATTGAAAGGAGTAGCGATGAGTGCCGAAATTTGGTCGCAGAATTATACTACGGTGGATATACTAGAAGTATTTTTTGATTTTGGAGTTTTATTTGATTGGGGATATTGCATATCTCGGATACATAGATTTGCAAATTAATTGATATAAGTGATAGTTGTATTGTAGACGATAAAAGATCGTTCAACCGCTCTCGTGACGAAGGTTTTGATGAATGTAAAGATTGCGGATATCGAAGGTATGGTCAAGTGCTTAACAGATGATGAAGTAAACCTTTTGATGAAGTTTATATATAAAGCGATGGACACTCACGCTGATAATGCAACTTGTCAGTATCTCCTGTCGTGGCATGCCCAGGTGATTTCAAGTCATTTTATGTGTTGGTTAGTCAAGTTTATGTTGGCTGTTACTTCTTTAGGAAGCTTTCACTGGTACTATTTCTGTTCTGAAAGTCTAATATTTTGGAAGTTTCTCCCATCTATAAGGTCCTTACCTCTTGTGTTGTTTTTCGATTTGTTCCGCTTTAAACTCACTTGCTATAACCATGTTCAAACTGTTGAGGTTGAGTGCTATGGAATGTCTGTCAGATGATTTTGAAATGTGGGAGCCTGAATATTATTCATTCCCAAATAGTAGTCGGAAATTAGTGGTAGGTATAATGGAAGTTTCTTAGGAAATTGAAAAACTTTTTGGCCTACTAGTGTTTCATGCTATTCACATGTCGCATTGGATTTTGATAAATTCAATATTGTTTCAGGTATTAGCTCGCGGCGGATACGGTGCTATAATTCGTGTATTTTGTGATCGTCAAAGGTTGTGACTTTTGCTTTTGATGTTTATATTTATCTTTTACCGAATGCCAAATTGAACCTTTGGTGGGGAAATATGATTTGCATTTGTAATTCTGATATCAATAAATAATCGTCATTCGCAGCTAGGATGATGAAAAACTGCACTTTGTTAAAGCCTAGCTTTTGTGTCTATTGTTGCGGTGGACTTGTTTAATCAGGTCGGTTTTTCCCTCGGTCATATTTCAAGCTTTATGAGCATATGCTCAACGTAATAAGTTGTGCACTCTTGTGAAACTGCTATGCGTCCAGACATTCAGGCATTCACATTTAGTTTTGCTGTTACATTCTGTCAGGTCATGTGTGGATTTCTGTGTCATGTATGGATTTCCTTCCGATGCCATCAATCGTTATAAAGGAATTTGTACTTTCGGAATAAAATCCTACGTCTTATTGCCTATTAACAGTAGACCCACCGTGGGAAACTTCTGTATAAATAACAGTTAACATCTGCAAAGACAGGGCCAACAGATTACATAAAATTGTTAACGATTAGCATTGTAAGCCTTTCTCAGAGAGAAAAATATGTGGTGAAAGTCTGCGTTAAGTAATCTATTAGAATAGTACGTGTTACACGGATATAATGGAGAAATTGATAGTACTTCTAAAATCCAGGCTTTTTGACATTTTTATTAATGTCGGAATTTCGTTATAATAGGCAAGGCATGATACTAGTACAAAGTTCATAGTATATGGCTAGCTTCATAATTCACCGCGGAATATATTGTTCATCATTCAAGATACCAGTTGAGGGTATATGACCTTACTGTATTTCTCGGAAACAAGCAACGGGGGGTGGGAAGAAAGTTAAAAACTATTCATAATATAATAAATGAATGAATTGGATGAATCTGGTGGCTGGCGTCGGCAAGCGTATATGCTGATCATACAAATAAAGTACTATGGGAACGTGTTGCAATGAATGACTGGAAAGTTCTTGTCAGCAGGTGAAATCAGATGCAATCACCACTATAAAGCACAAAGGAGCTGCATTCTAGAACGAAGCCCTGATTAACATCTGGAACAATTCACGTCATTCACATATATTGCGAACCTTTAAATTAAGAAAGTTTGCATCTTCATATCCGGTTTTTCTTGGGAACATTTTCTTTCCTCAGAAATTTGTGCATCTGAAAAAAGAGTCAAACGATATCTTCTTCTGTTTTCGAGGTCAGGGAATATAAACGTTTCCGTTCGAATATCGTTCCTTCGTCGCGCATGATTCTACTCAGTGAAAGAGGAAGCAAATAATCAGTAAAATTCAACAAAAGGTAAACTATAACAGTTAATAACATGCATACTGAATAATGACTTATGCTGCTACCAATGTCCATCCAACTCCCCTCATCCACGAGTCGGAAGAAGAAAATCTGAAATAATTTCCTAATGACTATAAGCTATCTTATTTGCATGACATAACTCAGGAGAAATAAATTTATGGCTGTTTCTAAGATGGAACTGCATCTAAATAATACTCATAACACTGCAAACCGCTTCTGCATGAAAAACTTCTATGATCCTCAAACACTGCGATGCATTAAACTATGACGTAAGAGCTAGTTTGTACCTTAAATTTCAAAACAATTGATAAAATGAAACCGAATTTAAATTAAGTTTGCAAAAAATTACCAGTGCCATCGTATCGGAGATGACTAGCAGTATCATCGATAACTTCGTAATTAAGATTTTTTTTAATCGAACAATAACGGCGTATGTAAAGGCAACGGCCAAAATTGGCAACGATATTTTGAAAATTAGCATAGCTGTCATCGTAAACGGAGAGAACACAGATATAAAGCATCGTAAAAATGATGGATTGAAACTGTTTAATGAGGCGATATTACCCGTACCGAAGAAAGCCGCTTCGATTAGGATAACCAAGACTAAGCCCTGGAGCCAATCATTGAAACTCGTATCACTAACATCTAAAATGATTACGAAACCAGTAAACTATGATAATTTGGAAAATATCGGAATCACAATGAAGTAAGTAGATCGAGGAGTTTTTTAATGTTTTAAAGATTTTATTTGTAACATTTAGTTAAATTTAAGTCGGCAAACGGCTGACCTGCTACTAACTTCGTTCCATAATCTCGTTGCGGTAATGACATAGCTAGAAATTCTTCATCAGTCATCTGCCCAAATTCCAACCGTACATATGTTGTGAGAAGAACGAACAGAAGCAACATAAATGATGATTCGTATGATAAACTTAACAAAGTGTACGGCAACATAAGCGATGAGAACCAGCAGATAAGACGGATGATAACTGATCGCGATGATAACAGTGGTAAAACTGCCGCTACGGGAATTGAAAGCCAACAAATTAAGCGTAACAGCATTAACAACAACTAAAAAATGCATCTTACTACCATCAAATCATCCAGACTTGCAGGAAGAAAAAATTTCTGGAGAACACATTAATACGTAAAAGCATTCTCATACGATTATGTGAAATCCCAACCTTATAATCTTTAAAAGCATCCACAAAAATTACGACAACTGTAGCAAGAAGATGTAAAGCTGAGTGGTATCGGAACAGTGTTTTTGTTGATGACAGCACCGGAAAAGTAGAAATCCAGAAAATTAGTAGTGAGGTAAAGAAAGACGACAAGGCACAAACTGTCGGGAGCGGAGTTTGTCCAACCACTGGAAACTGAGGATATATAGCAACAGCCAAACAACATATCAACCACATCCGTTTCCTAAACAGAAACAAAATGTTAACGCAACCAACAAAATAACATCAATATGTAGTGCTACAGCTGCTCGCGCTAAATTAATAGTAGTGAGATCTCCCTTCATATAATAAAATTCATAAAATATTAAAAATTTCAGCATAAACTTGTTGAGACTAGAGGAATTTTACGCAGCCTTACATTAAAGTAATTAACATCATTTTCAAATACCTACCATTTAACTAAATCTCGATTTTCGCCACGCCTTAACACTGGAATTAAACCAAAGACCAAAAATTCTATCGACAATATTGGCCGATAAATGAAAGCAGAAACAATGACCGAAAGAATTACAGCTGAAAAAATGACTTTAATATCCATCTATAAACAATGACCGAAAGAATTACAGCTGAAAACACAACTAAAATGATTTTAATATCCATCTATAAAAAAAGGAACGACCCTATAAATTTGAAATTCAGTTTTTTTCCTGACAATATTATCAAGGTGTGTTTACTGGAAATTTGCGTCCTGCAAAATGGAAAACCAATCATTTCAAATTAGAATGCATTCAAATAATATTTAACTGAAGCTGTAATTCAGTCTTTATCTCCAGCTCACAGTTCCACATAAAAATCTACCATACTCTTCGTACTAAAACTTACCAACTGAAATAGTTAACAGCATCCAATAGGTGCACAAAAAAAGCCATTTTGTTCGCATTTCTGGACAATGAGTTGAATGCCAATTTATGATAAAATTTTCCAAGTTACTACGAATTAAGTCGCTAACTGCATTATAGCAAACGCATGAGAGATATGTAGGAAGTGTCAGATATAAGGCATGCGTAAAAGGTAGCCCGTTAAGTAGTAGTAAGGTAAACATGAAGCCAACACCAATAAACTGTTTAAGGCTTAGAATCAACACATTGTTATCCTTCAAAATTATGGAAGAACGCCTGTAATAAAGAAAAATTGGCAGTGAAAACATTCGTAATCAAGGAAAGGCTTATGATGTTAATTACCAAAGCTTTTCGTTTAATCCGTCCGTTGATTGTGTTTTCAATAGTTGGACAATGAAATTTTCCCAAGTTAATGGCTTTATGTTTTTTCAATTTTCTAAATATCTTCTAAGATTCAATTCACAAAGAAATTTTACCTCAATGTGATGAAATAAACGCATAACATCCATGTGATGAATGTAGAAGCGACAGCAATTCCTAACAGTGTTTGATCATGACGATGAAAATAAACCAAGCCTGTTCGAAGAATCGGAATCCACTGCATGCATACAGCTACAGCTGCCTCAAATCTATAGAACAATAGTACTTGGTTAAAGCAGTCAAAATAGGCTAAAATACGTCTCCAGATGATGCATGATTATATGCAGAAGGCAATGTGCATCAGCCTCCACGAAAAAGGCAAGATGCCAACCATTAAACTATTCTGTTAAATCATTTGTCGGTTAGACTGTCAATAATTACTGAACAACGATTTTTATCTAAATTTCCTACGGAAGGGGAATAAGAATCAATGTTCAATAAAAGTAACCTATTTTGTGCTACAAGTCTTTTGATTTCGCTTTCAATCGTGGGCAATATTTTTGGGTGGAGTTGGTCAAAATCACGAAACATGAAAGGCAGTGAATGGGCTTTTTTCTCATTCTTCTTCAGAATAAACTGTTCCAGCATCTGGTAAAAGTTGTGATTTCAATTTCATTATTATGAAAATCATTAGTCGGTGGAAAAATTCTATCTAGTATGTTTAAATGGCAATTAATTTTTTTTCCATGATTTCCATGAACTAGGAGTTCAGTAAGCCATAAGATCAAAGATGAAGGAGGTACCAACAATGATATAAAACGACACAAAGTATTACTACCTGGTAAAGTTTAATGTTCTCAATCCAAGTTTTAATATTAAAGTAAATTGATAGTAATCAACAAACCTGTTTGAAGTTAGCGTATGCTACCTTAAATTTGTATCTTGGTAATGCATCCAGCAGATGCAAAGGTACAGTGCCAAAACTGTTCATTGGAATCGGACAACCAAGCAAAGCAGACATCAGCGGTGACAGATCAATCTTAAATAATGTGTATAACATTTCTAAATAAACTCTACTTAAACCATTAATAACTAAGTGATACAGAAAACCTTAAACCATTAATAACTAAGTGATACAGAAAAACGAGAAAAATAAAAAATGAAAACCGGAAAAAAAGGACCTACTTGACTGATTTTATTTTTCACAGTGCTGCCGCGTACACCACGACCCCACATCACTAACGGTGTAATCAGCTCGGCTTCTGTGCCAGCACCATGTGAACCCCAATCTGTCATTCCGTGATCTGAGGTGAATAAGAAGGCCGTCCTAAACTGATCAAAATAAAGAGATTTGATAATAATCGAAGAAAAGAATAGGATTATGGGAAATAGAAAAAAAGCTATTAATAACGGCTCTAGTTATCGGTATCAGTGATACTGACTGTGCTGTCATTTTAGGAAGTAGTTTCTTATAGCAAATCAATCTTAATTCATTAGGCTATTTTTTTTTTTTTTATTAAAAAGACGAACCTGTTATCGGCAAAGAAATCGTCCAACAATCGTACCAATCTAGCAATTCCTGCATCTACAACTGCAATATTATCAATGTACTTATCTGACTGTGGTTTATGACCGTGTCCATTTGTGTCCAATCCCAGTAAATGCAGGAAAAATACGAGGCGATCTGAGGCCAAGCGTTTTGGAATAGTTACATCTGTGCTGTTCAAAAGTTCCTAAACTGAAACTTTTCACTTTACTATTATCATAGCATGTTCAGGATTCTCAGTGACAATGAAAGTTTACAAAACAATAACTACAATAACTACAATATACTACAATAACACTATAATAACTACATATACTACAATAACTCACTTCTATTTCTCTGAATACCCACCGGTCCAGTTGTGCAGCATCGTTCTGCTGGAAATCTTCTAATTCGGGAGAATAAACCATTGCAGTGGCATGGTTGACATCATTTGTGAATATTAGGACGATGTCTGGACTGCCAAAAGCAAATGCTTCGCGCGATCTACAATATTGCTTTGGGATATCTAATATCTCGGAACGCACATACCAAATAAGTTGGTTCTAAAAACGTCAAATCTTATTTCGTTTTACAAATCGGTAAAGCACTTCTTATATTTCTCTAATGGCACGTACGTATAGCAGTAAAGTCATCTTGGTAATTTAAAAAGAAGAAAAAGAAAACTACATAAATGAAGTCGCTACTCATTATATGCTTTAGAGTTTTACCTATTGATGATGCTGTCAAATGGAACCGGATTATGTTTCCAACCGCGAGCAACAGCACTGACATCTTCGAAAAAGCCAGCAAGCATTGCTACATGTCCAGGACGCGATTCGGTTGGAACATGACTTACGCTTACACCCCAGCAACCCTGAAAATGAACAGATCCCACATTAACCAATGTTATTTTTAGAGTTCTATCTTTTTCACGCAAGACCTTTTCAAGGACTTTTTTCTTACATGTACATGGGTCTATTGAAGTTATGGTTAACTGGTTTCGGTCTCATTAAATTCAAGTTCATTTACCTTGCCTGAATTAATAATTTCGTGCAAGAATGGTGATTTTTCAGGATGACTGAAGAAAGCATCTGCACGCAAACCATCTGGAAACCAGTACAAACATATTTGAGCTTAAGAAAGCACAGATTCTGCGAAGAAAACAGTGGAAACGTTGTCTTTTTTT